TATCCTTTGACATCTGACTACCCTTGTTAATTACCTTTCTATTCTTTACTTCTTTGAATTTAACATTAGATTCCATACATAAGAAAGATCATGTGGTACTTATCTTGCTGTACTGACTTATTTAACTTAACATAGTGTCGTCCAGGTCCATCCATATTGTTACAAGTTATAAGATTTTATTTTTTCAAGTTGAATAGCATTCATTATGTATGTATATGAATACATATCACATTTTCTTTCTCCATTCATTCATTGATGGGTACTTTGACTGATTCCATATTGTGTCTAATGTGAATAATGCTGCAGTAAACACAAGAGCATAGATATCTCTTGAACATACTGATTTAATTTTCTTTGGATATATTCCCAGAAATGGGATTGCTGGATCATATAGTGATCATTTTAGCTTTTTGAGGTCTCCATAAAGCTTCCCATAATGGCAATGCTAATTTACATTCCTATCAACAGTGTGCAGTGTTCCCTTTCCTCCACATCCTCACCAACACTTACCTTTCATCTTTTTGATGAAAGGTAAGTGTTGATGACCATTGTAACAGGTCTGGAGTGGCCATCTTGTAGTTTTGATTTTAAGTTCCCTGATAATATTGTTAAGCATTTTTTCTTTTCCACAATGGCCATTTATGTGCTGCTTTTGAGAAATGCTTATTCAGGTCCTTTGCTCATTTTTTAATTACTTGGTTTTTTTGTTATTGAGTTATAATTCTTTATATATTCTGGTTATTAACCACTTATCAAATGTATGGTTTGCACATATTTCCTCTTGTTCTGTAGGTTGTCTTTTCACTGTTTGCCTGGCTGCAGAAGCTTTTTAATTTTGATGCAGTCCTGTTTGTCTCTTTTAAATTTTGTTGCTTTTGCTTTGGGGTCATATAAAAAAAAAATCATTGCCTAGACCAATGTCATGGAGTTTTTCCTCTGTGTTTTCATCTATTATGATCTACAATGTCAGGTCTTATGTTGAAGTTTTTAATCCATCTCAAGTTGATTTTTATACGTGGTATGAAATAAGGGTTTAATGTCATTCTTTTTCATGTAGCTATCCTGTTTTCCCAACACCATTATTGAAGAAACTGTCTGTTTGCCATCATGTGTTCCTGTCTCCTTTGTCAGGAATCAATTGGCCATACATGAGTGGCTTCATTTCTTGGATGTCTCTTCTTTTCCAATGGTCTGTTTTTATGCCAGTACTATGCTATTTTGATTGCTGTAGCTTTGTAGTGTATTTTGAAGGCAGACAAGGTAATTCCCTCTGTTCTCTTCTTTTTGTTCAAGTTTGAATGACTATATGGAGTTTTTTGTGATTCCCTATAAATTTCAGACTTGTTTTCATTTCTGTGAAAAACATTGGAAATTTGATAGGAATTGCAGTGAATCTGTAGATTGCTTTGGATAGTGTGAACATTTTAACATTAATTGTTCCACTGAAAGAACATGGGATATCTTTTCATTTTTTGATACCATCTTCAGTTCTTTCATTAGTGTTTGTTTTTGGTGTATAAGTATTTCTAAGCACTATTTTGTACCTGTTACATATAGAATGGTTTACTCCTTTTTATAGATAGTTCATTTTTAATTTGTAGAAATACTACTAATTTTTATGGTGATTTTTTTGTATCCTGCAGCTTTACTGAATTTGTTTATTATAAGTTTTTTTTTTTTTAACATGGAGTTTTTAGCATTTTCCACATATAAAATCATGTTATCTGCAGACAATTTTTTTCTTTATAATTTAGATGCCTTTTATTTCTCTGACCTAATTGCTCTATGACTTTCAGTGCTGCATTGAATACAAATGATAAGAGTTGACATCTTTTGTCTTCTTCCTGAGAGGAAAAGCTTTCAACTTTTCCCCATTGAGTATGATGTCATCTGTGTGTTTGTCAGATATGGCCTGAATGAGGTAAATTACTTCAATCCTAATTTCTTCAGAATTTTTCTCATGAAAGAATATTGAATTTTGTCAGTTTTTTAAACCTCTAGTGAGGTGATTTTATGGCTTTTGTCCCTTTTGTTAATATAGTACATACACTGGAGTATGCTGAACTATTCTGGCAACCAAGGGATGTATCCTACCTACTTCAACATGAAGAGTTCTCTGAACATACTATTTAGTTTGTTAAAAATTTTTTGCATATATGTTTATGTGCCTATAATTTTCTTACAGTATCCTTGTCTGCCTTTGGTATTAGGATAATGCTAGCTAGGCTCATAAAATGAGTTTGGAAGTACTTCCTCTTCAGTTTTTTGAAATTGTTGAGAAGAACTGATGTTCTTTAAATGAACTTCCTTAATTTTTGTCTGAAGGAGAGTTTTGCCAGGTAAATATTCTTGGGGGTTTTTTGGTTCGGTTGATTTTGGTTTTATTTTTTTTTTCCCTTCTTTTTCTCCCCAGAACTTTCAATTATATGTTGAAAAAAATCTGCTGCTAGCTTTAGCGGAACTCCCTTATATATGCTTTGCTTCCCTTTTACAGGCTCTTCTTTGTCTTTGACTTTTAACAGTTTAATTATAATGCCTTGGTGTTTTCTTGTTTGGACTGAATCTGATTGGAGACCTATATTTTTGTGTCTTTCCCCAGATTTGGAGTTTTCTGCATTCTTTTTGAATTCTTATAACTTAAATGTTTCTTTTGATACTGTCACATAAATCCCATAAGTTTTCTTTTTGTTCATTTAATTTTTCTTTCTTCTATATATTTTCAAATAACCCATCTTCAGGTTCACAGGTGTTCCTTCTGCTGGATTGTCCTTGCTATGGACACTATTGTGCTTTTCATTCATCATGTTTTCATCTCTAGAATTTGATTTTCTAAAAAAAAAAAAAAAATGCAATATCTTAAAATTCTCGTTTTAGTCATTTATTACAGTCTTCCTGATCCCATTGAATTGTCTGTTTTCTTGAAATTTGCCAAGCTTCCTTAAAACAGTCATTTTGAATTATTTATCAGACAGATCATAAATCTCCAGTCTCGTGATGTCATTGATTGGCTTTATTTTGTTCTTTGATGGGCTTCTGTTTCCCTAATTGTTCTTAATCCTTATAGCCATGCCTTGGTATCTGCACATTTCAAAAAGGTCTTATTCTAGTTTTGTGGGCTGGCTTTGAGTGGGAAAGCCCTTCACTGGTTAACCCATTTAGAGATTCTGGGTAGGCTATCTGGAGTGGTCTGTGGGTGGGATTGCTACTGGAGTCCTTGGCTGATTAGCCTGGTATCTAGATCAGCAGGTAGATGAGTCAGGTTGGATTCAAAGTGTGGGTCCACTGGACTGCAAGAACTGGCCTCTGTCCACAGGAGCTAACCTGGACCTGGGGTGAGCCTTGAGCCTGAATCACTGTAGTATGCTGACTGGCTTGAGCCCTACATCTGCAGGGGTAGTCCTAGAATCTGCACCATTTTTCTCAAGTAGGTCTAGATGCTGGCTCCACTGGAGCCTTGAGCCACAGGGATTGGCTGGTGCCAGGATATGAGTGAGGCCTGGAATTGTGGGTACTGACCTGCTGCCTAAAATCACTAGGCAGGGTTGGCATGGAAACTGGGTCCATGAGGACTGTTCTGGAACTGAGTTCACAGGGTCAGTCCTGGAGTACAGCTTGTCCCCACTAGGGTCTGCTGGAGCCAGCCTCATATGTAGCACTGCAGGTCAGCAGGGCTAAGACATGCAATTATGATGCTAGTCTGGTGCTAGGGCCAGCCTGACTCTGAGGTGGGCCTGGAACCAGAATGAATGGCATGGGAATGGGCCTAGAAACAGTCTACCAGACAAGCTTTGAGTCTGGGACACAGCCCTGCCCCACACTGGGTTTTGCTTTGGCAAGCCTAGTGTTGGAGTCCAAGGCAAAGCCAGTGCTCACTTCCCTTCCCTAGCCCCAAGCTTAGGGTACCTCGCACTATGCTGCCTAAGATTGAGGGAGAAGTGGCACAGGTGAGGTAAAGCACTTCTTAACCTTTTTCAGTGCATCTGTACTTCTGTGCCACGTCTAGGTGACGTAAATATCCCACTTGGTAGCCTTAGCTCTTAGGACAGTGTTTTTGTGTGTGGACAGTTGTTCAAATGGATGTTTCTGTGGGAGGACGAGCATGGAAATTCACATTCCACTGTCCTGCTCAAGTTTCATTATTTCTTGATATGTGACATTATGGTTTCAGAGTCAGTGTATTTGGGAGACACAGTGTTAGATACGTCTTAATTATTAAAGAATTGACAGTGACAATGACAGTGTATGTTGTAGGTCACTGAGGGAAAGGGTGGCAACAAATGGTACAGAAACCTACCTGACCGTAGAATACATTCTTCAGAGAATCTCATGGCACTGTGTTCCACAGAATGCACCCGAGGAAATACTGGCTTCTGCTTTGTTATTTGAAATTCAGTTAATATAGAATCTGTTTTAAGTACAGGAATCAGTTTACTGACGTTGTTGCACAATCAGGGCTTTGAAAGATTCCATTTCAGGGTGAAAGCATCATAGTGTCAGCACCAGCTAGAATCATGGAGATAACAAGGTGGTAGAACACGTTTATCTGAACCACCTGAAGAACTTACAGAAATACACATGGCTAGACACCCTGCTAGGACACTATATTGGGGACTGGGATTATGTCCATGAAAAAGACTCCCTGGTTGGCTCTCAAATGCAGCCTTTGATCAAGAAATCCGATGACAGCAATGACCTATTTCTTCATTCAATACATATTAACCAAGTGCCTATTCTGTTCTCAGGTCTATGCCTGACAATGGCTTGATTCCATATAAAAGTCAAATGAGGAAATTCTAAGTTTTTGTTTCAGCTTTAGTCTGAAGAAAGGACTATTTGCCTTCCATCTAAATTAAATGTTAAAAGCGTTTTTCTCTTCTGAATAACATTTCTAGTAGATATTTAATATATCCTGTTGAAGTTCCTAAATAGTAATAGCAAAGAATAGTAATTACATATAAAGATCCTAATAGTGAAAAATGAAAAAATCAGCTCTCAACAAATTGTTTTAAATAATCTTTTTATTGCATCTAAGAATACTATTATAGTAACCATTGTTAAGCAATTAATTATTTGTGTGTGTGTGTGTGTGTGTGTCGTGTACTTTTCTTATATTTTAATTAAAAGCTGTCACTAACCCTGACAGTTTGGGGTTATCCTTGTTTTACAAAGAGCCTATGTAACTGGCAAGTTTACTTGACTACTTGCCAGCACTACTGCTGAAATGGAAAGTAAAGCTGCCGTAATGTGTTATCCTATTAATCTCCAGGGTTCATCTGGGTAATTTCCAAATAGCCTTCAGATATAAATATGTCTTACTTGAAAAGGTCATGTCATCACATGTGCTGAACATATTACTAACCTTTTGTGCTCTCTGGAATTTTGTTTAGGTCATTTAATGGTCGTAATGAACTACAACCAACCAATCTGAATCTGTTTTGGGGTGATACTTAAATTACTATAGATCCTACCCAGAACTAAACACAAGACAAAAATAAAATAAACCCAGGCACTGTTACCATGTCTGGAAAACCCCAAACTAAGCTCTCTGAAGCATCAGAAAACCTTGCTAAAAGACACAGGAATGCCATGTGAGTACATATTCTAATTTTTTAAAGTAACAGGAACAGCAAAATTGAACCATTTCCACAGTAGCAACCAAGGGGCTTAACTGAGGACAGATAAACCAAGTGTTAAGCATCAATCTCTATTAATGAAAAATGGCTTGAGATGACTATACCAAAGGAAGAATGGCATGAGTTAAGAGAACAAATTAAATGAGCAAGTAAACAACTTCTTAGGAAGCATTGTATCCCTGATGTGCCCTCACCACTAAAAAATGGACTACTGTAGAATTTTATGATTACCATGCCACACATTGCTATTAAGAAAACATGAGGATATGTAACTTGTACTTGTGTAGGTATATACTGAACCCTTGGAATCATCTACACTTAAGGTATCAGCAAAGAAGAAGCAATAAAAATGCTTTTATTTTTATTAAAAAAATAGAAAGGCAGAAGCCAAGGGAAATTTTCAAGAAAAGAATAAGACAGCCAAATGCAACAAAGAAGTCAAAAGGACTAAGAAATGGCCGTGTGATTTGGCAACCAGAGTCACTGGCAGCCTTGAAAAGAACAGCAGATTAAGGGGAAAAGCCAGTTTACATTGGTTAAGGAAATGGGGATAGGGGTATGGAAAACCTTTCAGCATCCCATTCATTTATTTAGCTCAGTGTGTATGGCGCTGGTACATTGTATGCATTGGCAGTGGTTCTGAAAAGGATAGAACCGAATTTGTTTTAGATTTTTTTGTTTTAATTAGTTATACATGACAGTATAATGCATTTATGCACTTTGATATACATAGATGGGATATAATTTCTCATTTTTCTGAGTGTACATATTGTAGAATCATATTGGTCATGCAGTCACATATATACATAAAATAATAATATCTGTTTCGTTCTACTATCTTTGCTATCCCACATCCCCTTCTCTTCCCTTCCTTCCCTTCCCTCTACCTAATCTAAGGTAATGCTGTTCTTCTCTAGTGCCCCCCACCTTAATGTGAATTAGCATCTGCATATTAGAGAAAAACATTTGACCTTTGGTTTTTCAGGATTGGCTCATTTTGCTTAGCATGATATTCTCCAACTCCATCCATTTACTGTAAATGCCATAATTTCATACTTCTTTAAAGCTGAGTAATAGTATATATGTGTGTGTGTGTATATATATATATATATATATATATATATATATATATATATATATCACATTTTCTTTATCCATTCATCTATTGAAGGACACCTAGGTTGGTTCCATAGGTTAGCTGTTGTGAATTGAGCTGCTATAAACGTTGATGTGTCTGCATCACTGTAGTATGCTGATTTTCAGTCCTTTGGGTGTAGACTGAGGAGTGGGAGAGCTGGGTCAAATGGTGGTTCTATTCCAAGTTTTGTGAGGAATTTCCATACTGCTTTCCATAGTGGTTGTGCCTATTTGCAGTCCCACCAGCAGTGTATGAGAATTCACTCACATGTGTTTTGCATATACGATGTAGTACAAACTGTTCAAAACCAACAGAAAGTGAAGTTAACTGAAAGTGTGTAATACAGTATAAGCCTTGTGTAAAATACCTTCATAGAGGCACAAGCAATGGGTGATTACCCACAGGGTTAATTTCTTCACTCACCATTCCCTGTAGCTAAAGACTTAGGCCCTGAAGTCATTTGGATATTCTGCAGCATCAAACTGTATCTTCTCAAAATGAAAATCTTTCCACTTTGAGTACCGTGTTTGAACTCCAGTTGCAATATCTTCCACTACAAAACTTTCAATTTTTATGACTGGAATCTCAAATTCCTTATACTTCACGTGGATTCCCCAGTCATGTCTGCAGTTCTCTTTGGCACAGAATATCTTTGCTTTCTTCTCAAAACCCCCATAGCTCTTCGGTCTGGGGTGTGGTTTACTCACAAAGCGTTCCTTAAAATCATCTCCAACCACAGTGTAATGGCATGTCTAAGATGAATAGTTGGAACAATATAGAAAATGTTAGAAGCAATCCGCAATTGTGATTTAAGATAAAATACTCCACAATAATCTGAGATGAAGAACAGATGGAATCCCACTTATTTCACAGTTTGGAAAAGGAATCACCTGAAGGCCACATTAGGCCTCAAATTAAATGCTACTAGGTACCTCATCAAAAGGAAGATTAAGAAATTTTCAGGAAACCTACCCCCTAAAAGTTCATATTCTGAGTTCAGAAACAAAAGACATAGTTGTTGAAGATCTGTGGAGTGTTAAATTGGTCCATGAAAGGACAGGCACAATCCAAAGGACACATGGAACAACAGCAAAGGATCAGTGTGCCCCAGAGAACACCATGGACGGTATGTCCATCGGCCACTCATACAGTCAGCTTTACAATAAACTGCACAGAAACAAATGCAACTCCAACATCTAGTCTTCCAGGAATACAAACTCTAAAATGGCCATTGTCAAGGAAAAAAAAAATCACAAAAAAAAATTGAAGCTAAAAGGACCTTTTACAGCTAAAGAAAGGCAGGGGAACTTAGTATCACTCATAATATGTTTCTTGCCCAAACAGTTGGGCTGATGAGGTTTAGTTTTCTGAAGACCAAAAGGAATTCTCAAGTAGTAACTCGTCACCTGACTAGCCCAGCCACTCGACCTGCTCTCCATCAGCAGCAAGTTACACTCAATGTTTGTCTTTGGAGACTTTTTAAAAAATTACTTTTATATATATTTTTAGTTGTTGATGTACCTTTATTTTATTCACTTATTTATATACTATGCTGAGATTCAAACCCATGTGCCTCACACATGCTCTGCAAGTGCTCTACCACTGAGTCACAACCCCAGCCCTGTCTTTGGAGATTTTTCTAATCCTTTATTTATAAGGAAAAAAACAACAATAAAAAAACAGAAGGTCGACTTGCAAGTGTCACATTTGAAAAGGAACATTTTGTTTTCATTGGAAAAGTGTTCCATATCCCATAAAGTTTAGAAAATAAAATCGTAGGAAGAAAATAGTCACGGAACCTCATCATCAGAATATAACATTTTGGCATATTTCTTTTAATATCGTTTACAAAGGTACCCGCCCCCCATGGTATTATTGTTTCATGCAACTATAAGAATAGCATATTGGGCTAGGGTTGTAGCTCAGTGGTACAGCATTTGCCTAGCGTTGTGAAGCAAAGGGTTCAATTCTCAGCACCACATATAAATAAATAAAGATCCATTGACAACTAAAAAAAGATTTTTTAAAATAGCATATTTATAGTTTTGTATCCAGTTTATTTTTTCCACTTTTATTATACTACATAAGCTTCATAATCGTATTTTTAAATAAAAATCTACTTTGGGATAATTTTAGACTTAGAGAAAAGTTGCAAGAAAATTCTTTGTATACCTTTGACCCAGTTTCCCTAAATGCTAACATACTACAAACCATAAAACTAAGAAACTAATATCTGTATATTGCTATTAGCTAAACTACAGATTTTCTACTAAAATTCTTTATTCTAGGATCTACTTAAGACTACACTGCATTTAGCACAACCATTATTCTGAAGAGCTTCATAATATTTAAAAGACAGTAATTTTTACCTTGACACACAACAACTGTATTTATGGGGCACAGTGAGATAATTCAACACATGAGTACAATGTATAATTATCAAATTAGGGTAATTTGCATTTTCATCTCCTTAAAACATTTATCATTGCTTTGTTGTAAAAAAGATTTATGAAATATTTAATAAATTGTTGTCCCTACTATACTGCAGAACAACAGAATGTATTCCTCCTGACTATACTTTGCACCTGTTATCTAACCTCTTATGCTCCTCCTCACTACCCTTCCTAGCCCACAATGACCACTAGTCTCTCTACTATATCAACGGTTATAGCTACCACATAAGCAAGATGAACCATAGCAGAAAAAAATAGTAATCTTAACATAAATATTTCATCAAGTTTTAACTTATGCTAAAAATCAACCAGGTGCTCTTATAAAAAAGGCTGCTTACCTCTACCACACGTACATCAGCCGTGTAACATGCCAAGGTTTTGCACTTTCCACAGAGCAGGTTTTTATTTTTCTTATCAGGGACAGGTTTTGATTTGGGTTGACTATCTCTGATGAATTTATCATGTATCTGTATACTGTGAACCTATGTGCCAAAAGAAGAGCCTCATAAACATAGTCTAATGAACATATGTGTAAATAAAAGCACATGTAAGTACATATATAATCATTCATATACACCTATGAATAGACAATATCTACTTATATTGCTTTGTTTATAAATATCACATGGATATGTTTATTGGCTCTCTTGACGGTTAGTCAATGTTTGTGGCCTCCAATTAGTCTTTCAATTTCTTCTTCAAAGTTGCCATAAAAGGACTAAATATATTCATGAAATAGTCATGTGAACCTCGTTTCACACTTTAGTGACTGGCAAAATTTTAGAAATCCATTCAGATACATAAATTGAACTATACTAAAAAGCTATAGTAACAAAACAGCATGGTATTGGCACAAAAATAGACATGTAGACCAATGGTACAGAATAGAAGACACAGAAACAAACCCACATAAATACAATTATACTAGCCAAAAACACACATTGGGGAAAAGATAGCCTCTTAAACAAATGGTGCTGGGAAAACTGGAAATCCATTTGCACCAAAATGAAAATAAACCCCTATCTCTCACCATACAAAAAATTCAACTCAAAGTGGATCAAGGCCCTAGAAATTAGACCAGAGACCCTTTGCCTAATAGAGGAGAAAGTAGGCCCAAATCTTCATCACATCGATATAGGCCCTGACTTCCTTAACAAGACTCCTAAAGCACAATAAATAAAATCAAGAATTAAGAAATTGGATGGACTCAAACTAAAAAGCTTCTTCTCAGCAAAAGAAACAAACAATCATGTGAAGAGAGAGCCTACAATTTGGGAGCAAATTTTTGCCACCCACAAGTCAGAGCTCAACCTCCAGGATATATAAAGAACTCAAAAAACTTAACACCAAAAAAACAAACAATCTAATATTTCTGGAAAATATATTAATAAATGGGCTAAGGAGCTGAACAGACACTTCTCAGAATATGATATACATTCAATCAACAAATATGTGAAAAATTGTTCAACATCTCTAGTAATTAAAAAAATGCAAATCAAAACTACTCTAAGATTTCATCTCACTCTAGTCAGAATGGCAATTATCAAAAATACAGACAACAGTAAGTGTTGGTGAGGATGAGAGGGAAAAGGCACACTCATTTATTGCTTTCTGGTAGGACTGCAAACTGGTGCAACCAATATGGAAAGCAGTATGGAGGTTCCTTAGAAAACTTGGAATGGAACCACCATTTAACCCAGCTATCCCACTCCAAAGGACTTAAAATTAGCATAGTATAGTAATGAAGCCACATCAATGTTTATAGCATCTCAATTCACAATAGATACACTGTAGAAGCAACCTAGATGCCCTTCAATAGATGAATGGATAATGAAACTGTGGTATATATACACAATGGAATTAAAAGAGAATAAAAGTATGGCATTTGCAGGTAGATGTATGGAGTTGGAGAATATCATGCTAAGTGAAGTAAGCCAATCTCAAAAAACCAAAGAATGTTCTCTCTGATTAGTTGATGCTGATCCATAACAGGTGAGGGGGGTATGGAAAAAGGAGAGGCAAAGGAGAGGGAGGCTTGGAGAGGGATATAAATATAAACTCTCTTCTTAAGCATTCAATTGTTTTTTAAATTCACTTATAACTGATGACATTTAATCATATACTAATTAAACTGTACAATCTCAAGTATTTTAAATGTTAATATTGGCAGTAAATATAGCCCTAATAGGTCAAAGTTATTTATATTATATTTAAAACTAAATAGAAGTCAATAACTGAGTAAAGAGGTTCAAAATAAGTATTAAATCTGAGGTGTGCTGTCCCTCCTCCCACACACACCCAGGGTTGGAAAGGAAGCCTTGCTCTATGCACTGAGGTGGAGAAAAGCAAAACTCAGGACTACTGATGGTGGGCAGTCATAGGAACACATCATGTTGGAAGTTCTTCATTCTAAAGAAACTTTCTTTTATGTCCTATCCTCCATGAAGAAGGGAGCTTTCCTCATTTTGCTGTTTTCAGATAACACTTTAATCAGAACAGTTCAAAATACCCTTTATACCTTACTCTTCTACAATGAAACAGGACCAAATCCTGAAGTTTTCACCATGGAGATAAATTCTTGGGTACCTCTGGACTGCCCACATGTTAAGTTGCTGCACAGTAACCAGAGAATCCCACAGGAGCCAGAGTGCTATAGTGATGGCAGCCGTACACCACAGACCATGGACAATGCAGTGGGGGTGCCAGGAAAGAAAGTGTACAGACTCCCAGCAGATTGCCCAAAAGAGCTCCAGACTTTCTGTTCTCTCTGTTAAAGCTGAAATGCAGGACCACAGTGTTCGAATTCAACCTCAAGCCATCCTTAAATGCCACAAAAGGGAATCTCACCCCAAGAACCACAATTCCTTTTAATTTTAGGAATATAAGATTTTCCTACCTTGTTCTACTAAGCTTTGAAAGCAAAATCTTCCCCCTCTAAACAGAGCAACTAGGCTGGTCATCTATGACAGGACAGAATGGCATCAAGACTCCAGGTTCCCGGCTGCCTCGATCACCAGCTACCAGTGACTCCTGGCTCCACTCATTCTGGGATCCCTTTTGTTTTTTGTTTTTGTTTTTGTTTACTGGTACCAGGCATTGAAACCAGGGGTGCTTAACCACTAAGCTACATCCCCGGTGTTTTCCTTTTTTATGTGTGTTTTGTTTTGTTTGAGACAGGGTCTTATTAAGTTAGGGCCTCACTAATCCCTCTCATTCTTTACCATTTCTGCCTGTCTTAGATATTTCACTGGTTGTCTCCTCATCCCACACCTTGGCTTGGTGTGCCAGCTACCACAAAAAAAAAAAAAAAAGTCTACATCTGGTCCAGTCTCCACTTTTCTCAACAGACATGCTTCTGTCACGAGTATCTTATTAAGTGGATTGTAACTCAGTGAGAGATAAAAATTATGCCATGGTTATTAAAACTCAATAGGATTTTAAAACATTTATTGACTCAGTGAAACAAGAACCTGTCAGTAAAATTAAGAGTGAAAATGTAGAAAAGGTGGTTTTAGACATATTAGTCTCCAAACTTAAGAAAGAAATGTTTTTCAAATGAGTAAACATTGACATAAAGTTGTGGTTTTATCCAAAAATAATTGTTAATTTGTTTTAAATCATTGCTTCCAAATACTTTTTCTGACATAGAAATTGTGACCTTTTTGCAATTATGGACACTACAGAATTAGTATACTGAGTTGTAAGGTTCATCGTAATGAAGTTTAACTATGCCTCACACCTCTATTTGGTGACAACTCTCATTTTTTGAGCACATATTTTATACCAGGTACTGTGCTAAGTAACACATATTTCTCATTTAATTCTCATGGCTTCCCTAAGAGTTTAAAAAAAAAAAAATTTCCCACCTTGACATGTAAGGAGATTGATTATTTAAGACAGGGTAGTTGCCTGAGGTCACAATGCAACTGGCAAAACTGAATTTGAAACACTGAGTATTTTCAAAAACTCTTCCCCAGTCCTGCAGTATTCAGTGCTTCTAAGGTTTCTGAGATGAAAATCTCTGCAAAGGGTCTAGAGAAAGTGTGGGTAAGCATGCCTGCATGGCTGTTTCTTGACTTCTCCAATCTGATTTCATGTTTCTGTGGTACAAAGGAAATTACAATAAAATGAGGGTTACTACCAAGAGGCTACTCTGAACAAGTGTGCCACTCTAAGGTATATGTTATTGTCCACAGCTACATGTAGGCATTCCAGCATCTGCCCAGTGACCTGTGAGCTCCTCTCAGAGGACTTTGGATGGCAGAGAGATTTCAGGAAGAAACAAAGGAGAGCTGTGTCATGCAGTGTCAGGATGTGGTCCTCAAGAACTGTCCACTTGAAAGAAAATATACCTCTGTTTGCCTTTTAGATCTAAAAACAGAACTTCAGTAATTTTAATCTCATTGACCCTAAAATATAACAGATTTAGCTGGGTATGTAGTTCCGTAGTGGAACACTTTCCCTAGCATGTACAAAGCCCCAGGTTCAAACCCCAGCACCACAAACAAAACAGAACAAAATAAAACCCAGTAAATTTAATGTTCACTGTGGAACAAAAACAAACTTACTATTATAACACAAAATTCTGAACAATATGATAAAAGGTACAAACCCTGTTCATGTTGTCTGTTATTTATGGTCAGATGAAAATTTGACTTACTTTTTTTTCAAATTCCGTTTTATCCCATGTCTGAAGTTTTGAAATGGAGTCATTCATCATTTCTTCCTTATACATGTTTATATTTTCTTTTTCAATTACATCAGCATTACTAGTCAGAAGGTAGCATTTGCTACCTCTTGCTCTTCCTCTGCCTATTGGAAAATAAATATTTTATTTGGTGTTTTTGACTTAAAACTCATATATCATGAGAACACAAAAACAAAAGGACAGAGATATTCCTAAAATTTCAACTTTGGTTCACTGAATCCTGCTTTCACCTGCATGTTAAACACATGGATACACCAGGAGCCCACCTCAGGCTAGCTCTCTTAGGTCTCCAATGGCACAGTGTGATTGTATAGCCTTATTATCAGAAATGCCACTTTAAAGATAATTCAATATGAACCCTTCGTATGACTCTGAGCATGATTCTAAGATGATAATGAATAGGTCCTTCCTCAAGAGCCTTTTAGGCAATGACATGTTCACAATCACCAGAACAAAGATAGACATAGAGGGCTATGGGCATTCAAAGATCTTATTCTAGCTGGGAGACTTAGGGACAGGTAAGATGGATGCAGAGGAAGAAGTAAAAATAGTAGCAGTACACTAACGATACTTTCAACAGCAAATGATGAAGTCTGATTGGCTGAAATGGAGAATGAAAGAAGGGGAAGAATGGGAAATAGATTGGAAAGGTGAGTGGGTCCTGGATTTTGAAAACTTGAACATGAAGTGAAATGGGGAAACATTAGAGTTTCTGTACTGGCAGTGACACGCTCAGAGCTGTTTTTCAGGAAAATTAATGTGGTAGTCATAGAAATTGGAAAAAAAGGGAAAAGGAAGTAGGCTAGTTGGGAGATTCTCTAGTCCAGGTGGGACAGAACTCTGAAGAATCTCCTCTGGAGCACAGGGAGCCACCAGCCCAGTTAGAAAGATCTACACTGGCCAAGTCTCAAGCCAAGTTGGAATTATCCTTTCACAAATATGTCAGTGTTGGGCAAGTAAGCAGTATCATTATGAACAGAATCACTATAGGGTACAAATTAATGGGTACAACTGTATAAACACCCAATCCAGACCAAACAAAGTCACCATTTAGCCACATACCTGAGTCCCCTGTACCATCAATTGTATACTCAACCTCATTCGGTAGAGGAAATAGGCCAAAATGACAGACAAACACCAAACAAAATACAGTGGGAGCCATATAGGAACTGTATCACAGTTTCTCTCACCTCTGGTTTGGATCATTTTGATGACATTGCCCACGTACTCATACAGGATGACCAGATTGCACTGAGCAATGTCGATGCCTTCATCAGCAACTGAGGTGACAATCAGAATATTATCTTTATCTTCTCTGAATGCATCCAGTGCACATTTCTGTGCTGGGAGGGTCATGCCTGTATCAAGCAGACATTACACAACTCACCAAAGAGGAAACTTTCCACTTGAAAAACTAGCAACTACTTACGGAATACACATTATATGCAAGGTACTATAATAAGTGCTTTATATTCCTGATCTCCCAACAACCATAAGCATTAGGATCTATTCCTATGCCAGTTTTAGAGAGGAAATTTAGAGAGACCTTTAATAGCTGAGACTTTGCGACAACATTAACAGTTCAAATCCCAACTGCGGCATTTACTAGTTGTGTGACTTCAACAATATCATTCCAAAACAAATACCTTTTTGCAAAAATATCAACAACTAACAATAACAGCTTTACATGCAAACAGGAATTTACAGCTGACAAAACATTTTCATACTTTTGCACTCACTGGAACTTCACAAGGCCCTTTTAGATGAACAAGGAATTGTGACATGATTCCCCTTTACAGATGAAGGCCTTACAGTTCCAGAGGTATGGTAAACTGACAGGTTAGCAAGCAGTAGTTTCATTTCTTTAACTTATGTTTAATGCCCAAATAGAGTGCCTCCTGGAGTGTTCTTCACTCCCTGCCTTCTGTTGTCTGAGAATTATTCCTCTCACGCTCTGAGGAGTGAAACTCTGGGTAGCTGCAGTTGTATTATGTTTTTCAATCAAAGAGACAGCACTTGCTGTTCACCAATAGTCGTATTGTTTCTCCAGGAAAGAGAAAACACTATCTGTCTATCTGTTCTTCCTCTTGTTGGGCACACAGCTAAAATAGACTTCCTAGCTTCCCCTGCATTTGGAGTGCCTATGACTAATTCTCATTAATGACATACAGACAAAAGCAGTGTATTCCTTTTTCCAAAACTGACCCTAAAAATCATCCATACTCTTGCCATTTCTCCTCAATGGACTAAATAAGGTTATGGTAGAGGAAGTAGAGACACCCTGGGATGATAAATAGCAGCTACTGGGTTGAAATAAGCACTTCAATCATGTTGGGCCACATCCTCCCTCTTGGATTCTGAGATTGGGTTTTGGAGACAGGTAGTAAATTGGGAAGGTATGGGGAGTCTTAAATGAAGAAATGGAGAGAGCAAAAGAAAAAAGAATGTAAAGAAAAAAGAATGAAACAGACATACGGAATCAGGACTTCCCAGTCTCATTTGTAAATGTCTGTGAAGCCTAAGTGCACTTCCTATACAGACCTGAGCATCCTTGTAGCTGGCCCCCATTCTGCTCAGACTAGCTAAGTAGATTTCTATTAACTGGGGAGAAAGAAAGGACCTTGACTAAGATAGCCGCATCTTTCCATGATATCCTATAGCAGTATGATCTTGAAGGCTACATTTAAATTGTCTATATAGACTAAAGTTAGGATGTGGTAATTACCCAGTTCACGTGATCATGGCAACACCAAAAATGGTGAGAAAGAATATGCACACTTGAGTTCAAACTTTACGGGCCCCAAAGACTCATCGGCATTTAAGTTTTAGTGGAATCATCTTCAGATCTCCATTTAATGTTTCATTGAAAAGCCCCACCTCAAGCAAGCAGAGGAAAGTAATATTACCTCCTTTACCTAGCTGGCCATGGGATCCAGTTTGTACAAAGACCATTTTCCAAATTGATTAATTATTTGTAATTCCAAGTCATGAAAACTCAAGTGCAATCGGTTTTATTTGTAGAAATTCACTTAAATTTAATCCCTAATTATTTGATTTTACTTTTGGGTTTCTTTACTCAGATTACTGTTTGTTAAAGATATAAACATACTTTCTATTTCTTTTGAATCTGTGGATTCTCAGTAAAACTGAATCCAAACAAATGAAACAATACATGTGGACCACTCTGTGAGAAGTCTATACGTGAAGTCTATATGTGAGAAGCTAATATTGAATCTGTATTAAACACTTGCTATGTGCCAGGCATTTCTAAACCAGGAGTTGGCAACCGTTTTTTATGAAGGGCTTATTAGTAAATATTTTAGGCTTTGTGGACCATGCTGTCATAGCTGCTCGACACTGCCACTGCAGTGTGAAAGCAGCCACAGACAATACATAAATGAACATGACTGTGTTCCAACAAAACTTTTTATAGACACTTAATTTGAATTTCATATCTGCTTAATGTCATGAATAATCTTTTGATTTTTTTCCACCATTTAAAAATGTAAATCTTATTTTTAGCTCAGGAGTCATTCAAAATCAGGCAATAAGCTGTATTTTGCTATTCACATCAACCCTATGAGCTATAATGAATATTATTATTTTTCCATTTGGCAGATGAGGAAAATGAGGCATAGATTAAATAACCTGCTTCTTCACAAAATAGAAAATCAAAAGGCAATAGGAATGGGAATTTGTAAATATTCAGACTTAGCAAACTGAACTGACATTTATCTTCCTCCTGAAGTTTTGTTATAAAAGCTCACGATTTTTTTAGTTTAATAGTAACAAGAAGGGGCTGGGGATGTGGCTCAAGCGGTAGCGCGCTCGCCTGCCATGCGTGCGGC